CTGTGTTTCCTAATACAAAATAATATGTGCTTGCTAACTCTTGCACAATGAAAATCAAGGGTAAACAGAAAAGTTACTTACGGAAAAATCGCAACAACAACAACAACAACAAAAATATATTATTAATCGAAAAAAACAGAGTACTGTTGATAACTTGTTTGTGTGCCTGGTCATGGGTTAGCTTTAATCCACAATAAAGACAAGTATTGTTGAGCCAGAATTATGTACGATAAGTTATGAATACCCACATCGAAGTGATTAGTATTGTACATTATAATATCGATAAAAAGGCTGCCCCGCATTACCCGAGATTGGAAAAGAAGAATCGTATATTATATAATTAGATATTAGCTTCAACATATACTTCGACAACATCTGTCAACGTAATTACAGGTTGTAGTAGGAGCAGCATTGTGGCTGGTCAGTTATAGTAGTGTCCATCTTTTGATTCAAAGACCAACTTAAATTATTTAATGTTCACTTTTAGTTCACAACTTAATTCTTTTAATAAAACATACTATTTTTTGTCACCAATCCCGTTATTTTTCTTCCCTCGTTATAATGATATCGTTACGTTTTCTTCGTTACTTTGACGATATGATTTCAACGTTAACTGACATTTCTAAATTGTTGTATATATATATATATATTTCTAATGCCAAATAATTCATAATTGACGTAATTGAGTTTAATGATGCATATTCTTATTTTATGATTACTCATTTTATTTTCTGAGTTGTCACTGCGTTACTAGATTGGGAAGATGTACTTATTCTACGGTAATTTTAATCTATACAAATATTTTATATAATTTAATTAAAAGTACAGGCGAGAAATAGCTGCACAACTTAAAAACTTTACACAGTAATTTTAATTCTCTAAATCATTTCGTCCAAAGTAACTTTACGTTGACTTGTTTGTTTTTGGAAGTTCACACAAAGTTACTCAAGGGCTATCTGTGTTAGCCGTCCCTAAGTTATAAGTGATAGGCTAGAGGGAAGGCAAAAACTCCCCACTTCCAGCTATTGGGCTTCTCTTTTACCAAAGAAAAGTGAGATTGACCGTCATATTATAACCATCCCTCCCCACAATCTTTCCTTAACTATTTAAATCACGTAACTACATACCTTCAAAACTGTCGTTTACTCTTTTATACCATACTATTATGGAATTATGTGATTTACCAGTTGTTTCACGTACGTATCTTTGCCACAGGTTGTCTATTATATATAATTATGTATTCAACATTAAAGTTAGTAAAACCATTAATAATACGACAAGTACAAAACATTTGTAGAACAGTAAGTCTCGCTAATTAACAGTTGGTACCAAACTTTATCCTTCACATCTGTAAGCGGGAATTTTTCAACTGTTAATCAACAATGGCGTCTTTTAAGGAACTTTGCTGGATAGAGGTTTTGTTTGTTTGTTTTTGAATTTCGCGCAAAGCTACACGAGGGCTATCTGCGCTAGTTGTCCCTAATTTAGCAGTGTAAGACTAGAGGGAAGGCAGTTAGTCATCACCACCCACCGGCTACTCTTTTACCAACGAATAGTGGGATTGACCGTCACATTATAACGCCCCCACGGCTGAAAGGGCGAGCATG